GCATGATATGAAAACTTACAAGTATTTGTTATTTCTATTTTTGTCCATTTTGAAACATTCTGATTTTAACATCCTGACTTCTTCTCTTTGATTACATTTTATTATAATAAAACTAATAGGCGTTAACTAGAAAATTTAGAGAATACTGCAAAGCATGGAGAAGATAATCATCATCTGTAATATCCAAACAGAAAAAAGTACTCAACATTTTAGTTTATTTCTTTTTTCTTTTAATATATTTTTTATTGATTTTTTACAGAGAGGAAGGGAGAGAGATAGAGAGTTAGAAACATCGACCAGCTGCCTCCTGCACATCTCCTACTGGGGATGTGCCCGCAACCCAGGTACATGCCCTTGACCGGAATCGAACCTGGGACCTTTCAGTCCGCAGGCCGACGCTCTATCCCCTGAGCCAAACCGGTTTCGGCTAGTTTATTTCTTTTTGATGTCTTGCCCATGCATGCAGCTATATACCATATAAAGTTAGGGTCATCCTTTGTGTAAAGTGTGAATTATGCTCAATATATCTCATTTATGGTTGGTTATTTCAAAACAAACACAAACACACACACACAAAACACAAAGAAAATTGCAGAAAATTATCTTTTCAAATGGAAATGTTTCTGCTGTCATTAGATAAGAAAGCAGTACTCATTTTAATCTCATTTTTGGTTTACTGTGCCAAACACATGACCAGGCATGCAGTTCCAAAAAAATCACCCCCTGACTTCAAATCTGCCAGAAACCAAACAGCAGATGCAATTCCAAGTTGGAGATTGTAAACTTTTATGGTTTCTGTGAATTTAGTAGCTTGAAAAAAAATTCATGCAAAAGTTGTTCAAGAAGTTTCAAGCACTACAGTTATTTTTAGAAGCCTTTTAGCATAGTTTGTTATTAAAAACTTAGAGCCCCAAATTAGCAATCTCATGAGAGATGGCTCAAGTATTTTCCTTACAGAAATACCTAAATGTCTTTTTATCGCCTTTTATGGCTAAAAATCCAACTGTGTGGCTAGAAGAAAAAAAACTACACCAGCAGCCACACTGACTAAAAGCACTTTTGCTTAAGTGCTGAATCTGAGGGCCAAAATAGTCTGGTCTCCTGGTGTATTGAAGATGAACAGAATTCGTTGTAGAATGAATATTCCAACCAGATGCCTGGGAATTTGATAACTGCAATTACAGAGGAAGACAGAGGGGAAGGCAATTTTTCTTTTCTGTATTGGAACAGTGCATATTAAATACTCTGGATGTGCAGGATAAGAGCAGGGCACTAAATTCTCCAGTCACGACGACGGAATGTCTGCTTGCTGCATGTTAGGCACTGTGCTGGGAATGAGGAATCGTGCATACATGCAGGAGAGCTCATCTTTACTGACCGGGGTATAACCCACTCGGGGAAAGCCTGTGAACTTAGGACCTGCAGCAAAGGCAATATAAGGGAAGGGCCTTTGAGTGATATTGAGCAAGTGCTTTCACATGCAGTTCAGGGAGAGGTTATTTGCAACTGTGGTGATACCTGAAACCTTACGTGAATTGATAAGGTTTTGATAGAGAGGGTTCAAGTGCGCTGCACATAAAAGGAATGCAAAGCTCTCATGATAAAACTGCACGAGGCACGTTTAGGCAAAGCAAGTAGACCTGTGTGGCTGCAGTGGAAAGTTCAGATTGGAAAGTAGTGAGAGAAACCCTGGAATGATAGCTTAAGCCAACCCATAGCACGCAGGACTCTGACCCTTGATTGATAGGCTGCTATTTCTCAGTGTTTCCTATTGGGACTCACTCACATCAGTATTGCCTTAGGGCGTTTTGTTATTGATTTTGAGAGAAAGAGAGAGAGAGAGAGAGGGAGGAGGAGAGAAGGAGAAAGAAGAATGCCTCCTGCATGCCCCCTACTGGGGATAGAGCCAGAAACCAGGTATGTGCCCGGATTGGGAATCGAACCCATGACCTCTTGGTGCATAGAGCAATGCTCAACCACTGAGCCACAAAAAAAACTCCCTCATGCTATCCCTTTGTAATCACACACTCCCCCCACTTTTGGACGCTGGCAACTACTGATCCCATCTCCATCACTATAGGTACATCTTTTAGAGAATTTCATACAAATAGAACCATACAGTATGTAGCCCTGAGAGATTGTTTTTTTCCTCTCTGCATAATTTCCTGGAGATTTCAAGCTGTTGCTGCATCCGTAGGTGGTTGTTTTTTATTGCTGAGAAATATTCCATTGTATGGTCGTAGCACAGTTTACCTATGCACGCCTGAATGACATTGTGGTTGTTTCCAGGTTTTGGTGATTATTAATAGAACTGCTTAAATATTCATGTCCAATTTTTGTGTGAATATAAGTGTTGATTTATCCTCACCATAAATCTCTTTGTGGGTAAGTTTAGGTACATTTCCGTCTGTGTAAGGGGCGTCCATAGTCCTTTTCTATAGACTGCTCACTTCCTTTACTCATTTTTCTGTTTGATTGTGGATGATTTTTATTTTAGACAAGTTGGTTTGTGGGGCTCATGGGGCTTCGGGTGAAAATGTCTAGCATTCTGGCCTGGCCAATGTAGCTCAGCCGTTGAGCATCAACCCAGCAACCAAGAGATCATCAGTTTGATTCCTGGTCAGGGCACATGCTCTGGTTGCAGGCTCAATCCCCTGTGAGGGATCCTGCAGGAGGCAGCTGATCAATGACATTTCTCTCCCACTGATGTTTCTATCTCTCTATGCCTCTCCCTTCCTCTCTATAAAATCAATAAAAACATATTTTTTAAAAATGTCTAGCATTCTGTTAACAAGTTCAGGACTAAAGTTTGCGAGAGACACCTGAAGACATGGGTGTGAGAGTCACACTGACAGATAATGGAAGGTAGGCCCATACTAACTCTTCAGGGGAGAAAACACGCAAGGCTTAAAGACAGAATCTATGGAAATGCCCATGTTTAGGATGTGGAAACAGGAGAAAGATCTAAAGGAGACTTCTTAAGGGTCAGAGAAGAGCTAGGCTGATGCAAGGTAACATTAATAAAAACTGAATATTAAAGGTCTGCTAAATAAAAGGGTGTAAATCCACAGGTCACAGTGTTCAGAAGAAGAAAGACTATCTCCTTCCAAGAATTCCAAGTCAAAGCCCTACAACTCATTCCAATTGGGCTAGCCTAGGTCACGTAACCACTCCTATACTGATCACTGCCACTAGGAGATACAGTGCACTGATTGGCCTACCTAGGTCATGTGCTCCAATTCCATAATTTCCCAGAGCCTCATGGATTCCCAAGGGAAAATATGAGGCTCTTTGGTCAAAGACATAGATGCTGACAAAAACAACCACCAAGTGTCTGAGTGGCCTTGAAAATGGTGTATTTTAAGTCTAGGAATTTAAACAGCACTTGTGTTTCACATTGAGGAAGTGGAGGCAACTGGTACAGAGCATTTAATCCGAAAGTGTGACTTAATTTTGGTAACCAGGATGCTTAAATGAAGGACTTTCCCTTTTTTCAAAAATAAGTCAACATCAGTGCATTTGAATAGGCATGGGGAAAGGAATCATGGGAAAGGAGACCATGGGGATCTTGAGGAGAAAGATGGTGGCGGAAGAAAGAGCAAGTGAAGCCCAGGTGCCATGTGGAGACAGTGGGGCCACGAGGCTTCCTCTGAGGAGGCAGGCGGTCTCCCCCATCTGTTCTCACTGAGGTCAGAATGATCCTTTAAAGGTGAAAGTCTCCTTAAGCTGGTACCCAGTGAGAGCTACTCCAGTGGCTCCCTTTGCTCCCACATGCCGTCCTCATGGAGTGGATCGGACTTCAGGGTCTTGTCCGAAGTGTCTCCGACCTGTGTTTGCTCTCTGTTCTCCAGCCCCAAAGGGTCACCAAGATCCACACACACTAACTAGCCTCATTCCCTCTGGAATTCCAGAATTCCAGGCCCTTATCCTGACATTTACTGTAGCCTCGGTGATTTTTCCTGAGGTTTAATTCTCACCCCTTGTTCGAGATGTCATTAGGAACTAAGCAAGAGAAATAATGAAGTTATTATAAAATGAAAGACCAAGCCTTTAGAACTCGATTATATATATATATATGAAAAAAGAGTGGAAAGCAAGATGCCGGAAGGTTGGCTCTAGGTAGTGGAAATATTAAAGGTCTGCTAACTAAAAGGGTGTAAGTCCACAGGGGACAGTGTTCAAAAGAAGAACGAACATCTCCTTCCAAGAATTCCAAGAGAAATGATGAAGGATCTACTTTTTCCTTACACTTTTTGGTGTTTCCCAGATTATCTACAATGCATATGTATTCCTTTCTGGTGTCTTCCAGCTTTTCCAGTGCGCTGGGGGAAACGTTTTACATTTTTTCAACTGTAAACTCTCAAAATAATCCACATGAAACTATAACAAAACCATAGCAAGCTCCTTATTCTGGCTTCGACGTATTCGTCCACTAATTACATTGACTTCATCTTCTAATGAAGTTTGCAATGTGAACGCTAAAGGAAAAAGAAAAACTCACAGCCACCCAGTGAGTTTGTGTCCTGGTGGAGCTTTGGTACCACCACAGCCAAAACGACTCCTGAAACCACCCCCGGTAAACAGCCCTGTAGGTCACAAGGAGTGGCTGCTGCTGTGTGCCTGTGGCTCCTTCCCCCTCCAGCTGCAGCTGCAGCCCCAGGGGAGGATGGCGCCTCCTCTGTGAAGACCATGGCAGTGCTTGTCATAAATTTAAATAAAAAATAATAGCAGATTGAAGGAACAATGTGATCAAAGCTATGCATTAAGAAAGCAAACACAGAATTTCTGCCAAAAGACAGAAACACTGGAAGAAAATGCATAATGTGAATAGCGTGATTATTGTATCTTTCCTACAGTTTTTACCACTTTCCATTTTTCAAACGTATTAAAAAATAAAACTATGTAAAAATTGTGCATTTTAAGTATCGTGTCAACCATATTTGACTCCAAAGTTTGCCCGCACACAGGGAAGCACTCACTGGCTTTTCTCTCCCCCGCAGGATGTGCTGGGCGGCATCCTGATCACCGCGGTCCTCATCGTCCTCACCTACCCCGCCTGGACCCTCATCGACCGCCTGGACTCGGCCAG